TAAAACTCTACTTCTGACTTCTGCGTTACTCATGTGGTGACACCACGGAATACGGCTTATACTACGAAGGCAGTGGTGGTCAAACGCCCGAAGTCTTCTCATCTCTTCCACCTTCAATGACCATGTTTCATAGCTAAGCAGTGGGACAGATCGTACTGCTGTGCTGTACACGCGACCCTCAACAGACAATCAGATATCATGGTGGTTCCATAGGTGGCATAAGTTGGCGAAAGCCAATCGAGGCTTTTGTATCCGTGCAGAGATCTCATCGGCAACTAACCCACCAGGATTGATCCTACTTCCCAGGTAAGTGAAGTTGTCGACACACTCAACCACTACATTCTCTATTGTTAACCGTGGCACCATTGAAGACCAATCCTGGAGCAACAATTTGCATTTAGGTGGTGAAAACCGCATCCCAAACATTCTCAAATTCCCACTCAAAGTGTTTAGAAGACTCTGCATCTTGTCGGCGTCTTCACCTAACAGGACTATGTCATCTGCATATTCTAGGTCTAACGAAAATTCTCCTGCGACCAGGTCAACGTCTCTGTAATCAGGTGACGAGAGGGAGACCTCCATAATAATGTCTATTATGAAATTGAATAAGAATGGAGACAGTGGGCACCCTTGAAGGACACCACCCGATGAGTACAGCTCACTTGATGGTCTCACCATAGGTTGTAACATGCCCACAAGTGTTCGAGTAGAGAGCCTTCAATAAGATGATGTACTTACTAGGCACGCCTTTCAGTGACAGACATTGCCATAAGACTTCTTGATCAACGGAGTCAAACGCCTTCTTTAGATCGAGAAATACAGCTAGTGTTGGGCGTCGGTAAGCGTGTCTGTGTTCCTGGACCTGGCTCAGTGTGAATATTTGGTCGATACACCGGCAGCCGGGTCTAAAGCCTGCCTGCCTGGTTTTCTCGGGCTTGCTGTTCCCGAGCTCCACTCAGGCGTCGAAGAATTATAGAACCTAGGATCTTGGACACTATGTTCGTCAGGCTGATTCCTCTGTGGTTATCACAAGAGGACTGCTCGCCTTTCTTAGAGACTGGGATAATGAGTGACTTAGACCAGTCGGAGGGGATCGTATTTGATTCCCATATACTAGCTAACACTTCCGTTGACCTGACTAAGAGCACTCTACCACCCTTCTTGTATACCTCAGCAGGTAGTCCATCTGGTCCTGCTGCCCTTTCTCATTTCAGGTTACCTATCGCTTTCTCAACTTCTTCTAGTGTTGGGGGCCTATCTCTATGTCCCATTCAGGATCCGACTGGATAGCGGGCAACGCAATGGTGGCTGGAGGCCAGTTAAACTGTTCCTCGAAGTGTTCTGCCCATCGCTCTAGTTGTCTCCTCAGCCAGTGGATCGCAGATCCGTTTTTCTCCGCTATAGCCTCATTCACTGTTGTTGACCTTTTCCCCCCAGTCTCCCTAATAAGTCTGAATAACTGTCTACTGTTACCGATAGCCTCTGCCTTTTCCATCTCTTTAGCCTTCGCTGCCCACCAGTGTTCGCGATCGTTGTGCAGACTTTTCATCAGTCTACTTTTAAGTTGCATTCGCTCTTCATTGTACTCGGAGCCTGCAGGGAGGCGTTCACGTGCATGCATTAGTTCGGAAGAAGCTGTTGATATCCACTGGCTGTTTTTAGCCACTATTTTGGAGTCGGTTACAGTATTCGGTGGTGCTTTTACAGCAGACTGAAGAAGGGACCAAGCTTCTTCTGGATGAGTGACGGCTTTGGTGTTTTCGTTGTCCAGAAGCACTCGTAGTGATTTTGTTGCCAAATTTTTTTTATTTCCATTGAGACGCAGGCATATACGTGCTCGGACCAACGCATGATCGCTATCCAAACACGTACTCCAGAAGGAGCGGCAGTCTTCCACCGATCCTCTCCAGCGATGACTAATAGCAATGTGGTCTATCTGTGTCCATCGCTGAGTCGAGCTCGGTGGACGCCAGGTCAGACAGTGCCTTTTCTTATGTCTGAAATTTGTGCTGGCTAAAAATAGGCGGTTATCTGAGCATAGTTGTAATAGGCGATCACCGTTATCTGTACGTTCAGCTGGGATTCCGAAAGTGCCACCTAAGTGCCTTTCTGCCTCACTCAGTCTACCCACCTGTGCGTTGAGGTCACCTGCAACAACCACTACGTCCGAACGTTTGGCTTTCGAGAGGAGGTTAGACAGTTTATGGTAGAACTCGTCCTTCACTTCATCCGAACTGTAGTCAGTGGGTGCGTAAGCAGAGATTACAAAGAGACAACGGCGAGTCTCACTATTCCTTTTAGTTCTCACTGTGCCGTTCAGCCTCATAGCGCAGAGGCGACTATCAACTGGGATCCAGTCTAGTAGTGAGTTTTCTGCCCTGGTGCTTAATGCTATACCTACACCTGCAAGACCACGAGAGCTAGCTATCGAATCTCCAGAAACTCGAAGGGTGAATTTTGCGGATTCACCAGATTGGTCAGGAGAGGTCAGGTGAATAACCACACTTGGGTCCTGTATGCGTGTCTCACAAACACAGCACACATCCATGCCCGAGTTGCTAGAGTCTTTGCCAACGAAGCCTGTTGGCCAATTTGACGGAGGGTGCGGACATTGAAGGCTCCAATATGTAATTTGGAGCGTGGTTTAAGGAGACCAGGGATGCTGTTCTGTGGACTCAGATCGTTGTCGAAGGCTGCAGAGGTAGGAGAAATTGAAGATGATGCAGCATCATTAATTAAGAGACGTGAAGGAAGATTAGAAGGTAATGATGGAGGAGGAGGATAGCAGTCAGAAGAAACTTGGGTGCTGACAGAGTTGTGAGGGCGGTTGACACTTCCCGGCTGCCCACACCGTGGAAGGCTATTTCTTCTTAAGGTACCTGAAAGAGATTTGTGTGACCGCAGAGCCCATCGGACATCTGCTTGAGGCCTGTCACACCCAGCCTTTTGAGTATGATTATTTTGAATATTTTGTATTTTTGGGGCCGGATGGTCGAAAGGAAACGACAAGTGAACCAACACCGCCGGCCCGGCAGACCGTGGGGCGTGGTGGAGTGTTATTTTTGGGGCCGACCTTTTCTAACCCCCCCTTCCACTGAGAAGGCAGCATCAGCATGGCACTGCTGGTCATCCAAGGGAAACACCTTACTGCTGTCACACCCCATCCAGCTAGCAGCAGTACGACTTCGCCCTCAGACCCCCATCATAGTGTAGCAATTTACACTACAACGGTAACTGCTTTTCGTCTAACCACTACCCAACAGACCTTTCTGGTATGGTAGGACCTCGAGGGAACAAGCGTTCCACCAGCATAGCTCGTTGGGTCATTGTGATATGCAAGCACGACCACCATGTCAAGGTAGCATCTATTGGTCGGGTGCCTAACGGAAGCTCCAGAACAGCAAACTCGAGGTCATCTGGTGGACTTGAAGCATGCAGACGATATTTTCCTGCCAGCCGAGGACGATAGCGAAATGCAGACAGGGTCTTGTGAACGCGTTGACCAGAAATCTGAATATGTTTTGCATGCGTTTCGCACCTGACAAATGTAAGGTGATGCTGTGAGGCTGGTCTGCTGCTGAAAGTACTCCCAGTTTAATGATGGGCAATGAAGTGGTGGAATGTGTCAGCCACTTCACCTACTTGGGAGTTGCATCAACTCGAACGGGGTGGTTGATGATGAAGTCTCATCTCAGATACAGAAGGCCCGCTTGGCATTTACCAACTTGTGTCATCTGTGGCGCCGATTAGCGTGGTAATCCGACTACCTATCAAAGGACGAGCATACTGGACTGCATTCCGTGCTACTCTGTATACGGCTATGAGACATGATCGTTAAAAGTAGTAGATATAAGGTGGTTACCTATTTGTGATAATGTGTTTTCGTAGCATTGCTGGCGTTTGATGGAATGACCGTGTGATCAATGTAGAGGTCAGGGGGAGTGTATCGGGAAAACATGGACGTCGACTGAGGTGGATTGGACATGTATTGCGCATGCCGATCCACCGCCTACCTCAACATGCAGTGTTAGAGGAAGCTAGATTAGGTTGGGTGAGGGTTGATGGTTGTCAAACCCTGAGGTGGGACCAGTTTATGAAGTCTTTGACTGTTGGTGTAAGCGCTGTGAGGAGGTGTAAACTTTTGGACTGACTGGAGTTCCCGAGATGAAAAATATCAGTGGTCGAGGACTCATGGTGACATAGCTGAAAGTCGGTCACAATGCGCAGATTTATTCACTCTTTGGTGTCGTCTCTAGCTTGAATATTCGCACTAACTTTTATCTTCAAATTGTTTATTCTTTCACACAACTTTTTCTACTTTGATGTCACTCTTTTTCTATCCACTTGTATTTTGATTCATGAATAGAGCATTCACGTTGACATTTCTCGCAGCTGAGTATGTTCCCAACTGCACAACTGTGTTGTCAATGGGGGATTTCCGTTGGAAAGCGTCATGAACTAACGAAATCTACTGATCCGCCCAAGTGGTTTCTAACTGCTCAGGTTATCAAGTATTATGTTTCGTTTGTAATAAAAACTATCTCGAAGCTTCTCATAAACTTCAAAAATGCGCTCTCCAGCAACAATTAACAGTTCTTTTCAAGTATCTAGAAAACTGGGATGGGTGAATAAAAGGACACTACTGAGGCAGACACAGGTCTTGCATCTCGCCTATATAAACTGCTTACACGCTTGCAAGTTTCCGCGTGATACTGACCAGTTGAATCAGATACTCAGTCTATAACGTTCTGATCACTTTCTCAACCTAGTGTTCGCTTCGATTTGGATATGGGTAACGAATCATTCTCCACCTTAATAGATATTGCTCAAATAGGAAGTATGTTCTTTTGGGTTTACCAAACATAAAAGCCTAATGTCTGCGTATACCTCATTTGCTGAATAAAACGATATTTTTCCTTTCATTTGTAGATATTTTCACTAGCTTTGAGCTTGTTGTCATACATTTAAATCCTTTCTGCCTATAGAATACATCCCGTTGAATGTGTACTCAGGAAGAAGAATGTTCATGTATGGTGACTTCGATTACTAAGAAAGAAGAAAGGTTTGTGGCTTTCAGTCAGCTTACTTTAATTTTCAAAATTGACAGGATATCACAATGTATCAAATGTCAAGGTCCACCTGCTGTGCTGGTCAGAAAGGATGATCCTGCTTTGTGCAAGTAAATTCAAGATCTGTTTATTTTTCTTTACCCTCCAACCTCAGACCATGTTTCATCAATAGTTGTCTTTACAAAATAAATTCAGTATTTGGGAAATATGGATTGAACTCTAAAGGAGGTAATGTAGCATTGGCCTTCTCTGGAGGTCAGAATTCAGCAGCCTTATTACAACTTGTGTTAGAGGTATGCAACTAGAAAGAAATGATTTATTAATTTATCTTCTAGAGTTCTAATGCTCCTAAGCGAAATAGAAAGTTTACACCAAAAGTATTTCACCTTACTGGTATGTGGTTAATTGCTGATTGTTTTGATTTTGCCTATCAAAGAGCGCCAGGAGTCCCTGGCTGATTTGGATTTAATAACCGATGTAATGAAAAGCACGGGTTTTGAATACTACACTATACCTTTAAATGAAGTAATTATTCTTTTGAAGTAATCCATAATTTCCAAAGGTTCTGGAAACAATCCATTTCAGAGTAAAATGACAGCATCAGTGCTGAGCAGTAGACAGAGATTCGAAGATTATTCACGCCTCTCCTTACTGGTTGATTGCGCCAGGAAACTTGATTGTCCCTTCTTAGTTTTGGGTGAATGCGGAAATAGAGTTGCTGTAAAATATCTACTCGAGATTGTTGAAGGTCGCGGAAACCATAGCAGCCTACAAACGGTGAGACACTGCGTGGTATTAATTATAATAATATTCTAAGACAAACTTAACAAACAGTGGTTCGACCAAACCAAAGATGTGATTGTGCGCATAGAATAACCGTATTTACGTCTCGCTATACTTCCCTACAATCACTTGTATTTGTTTGATGTAGTTTACAATGTTATTTCACCCCAAAAGTCCTATCAGTATGAATCAACAGACTCGATTAAAATATAATCCTTGTTATCATTAACTGATGAATTACCGTGATTGATTTATATTTCATATGTACTTAGGTGGCTATGTATATTACAGTGATCTAACTGAAAATCACCTGCATATCTTGCTGTAAAACCGTAAGTAGTCTTCGGACCTTATCTCTAACTGTGAATGTCACAACACCAAATGAAGAAGAGTAGAAGCCACTAGGATCCACCTAGAGCATCCAGTCTTGCATCATTTTGGGGGAGTGGAAAAGAGTCAGTTTGAATTATGACGTTGATGTGACAGTAGTCTGCACAAGCGAAGTGATCCATCCTCAACTGAAACGGCTAAAGACGCCCAGGAAGATGTTGTTGGCTTAATGATTCCCTTTTGCAGCGTTCCTTCAATCATAGCATCTAGGTGAGATCGAAAGCCGACCGGCACCCCACGAAGTGGTTGGTTGATAGCGGGAGTGGTCACTGGTACCTATTTCGCGTTCCAAAACACTCGTGCAACCTAAATCCTTGAAGTAACGCGATAGTGCACTGCTGAGTATGACTGCCCGACTAACGTCATCTTTCTTACCTGAGAAATGATTTCTGATGACAAGACGCAGTTCATTTGATTTTGTTTTTGATTAGTTGAAATTGTCATGGTTGTGCGAGATGAACCGAGTTGGAAGTGAGAGACTGTGGAGTCAACTGCCTTTTGCACTTTTGGAAATGCCAAGTTACTGTACTGCAAACGACGAAGTGATGATCATAGCTGAATTGGTCATTTTTAACAGGTAACACAACCACTTTAGTAATGCTTTTCGTGGTGCCGTCGATGGCTACCAGTTTCTGTCAAAGGGTATAAGTCATGCTCCAACTCAATGAAGAAAGGCTGTGCATTTAATAGATAGTGAATCTTCATCGTCTTTGAGCATCATGTAGTTGGAGTGCCGTTAATGCTTCCAGATACGGTTAGAGATAAGTGTGGATATCGAACAAACTCAGAAGTATTGAACATTAAATCACATGTGAATCCCGTTTGTATCTACAGCGTCAAACCTTCAAGCCGAACCTCATTCACTATAGGTAGTCCAAACGGTTTCTAGCTGACCTTTATGGGTATTTCTCTGTTTGGTGTGACTTTATATTAGATCATGAGCCACACTAGTGGTGTGAGTGTTAACTTTAATATGTGTTTGATGAGGTTGAAGTAGGTGGGTCAGGTTTTAGTCCTTGACCGAAATCTTGAATGTTGAGTGTTTGAGCCGTTGAGCAAGTGTTTAACCACAACGCACTTGGAGAAGTCTGACTACTAATAACTGAGATTATTTTATTTATTTGTCCCTTGGGTTCCTAGTGGAGCATAAAGCTTTAGTAGCACGTCTCTATTCCACTCTGTTCTCTGCAGTCTTTTCAACCTGGCTCCACGACTGTCCACAAGCTTTCATTTCTTCCTAAAACGATCTCCTCCATGTCACCGTCGTCTCGGATGCCCAACTCGTCGTTTCCTCTTTGGGTTCCAATTAAGGGACTGACTCGTGATGTCCCCAAACTGTCTTCTCAGTTTGAGGTTGACAAAGGTTTGTGGTACTCCGTAGTGTTGAAGCAGTTTCCAAATTACTCCTCGGTCGACGCTGTCGAAAGCCTTTTCAAAATCGATGAAGTTGAGGTAGAGTTGAGTTGACTGGCATTCTGTACTCTGTTCTGTGATGATGCGTAGCGTAGCTTTGTAATTTGATGCGCACATGATTTGTTCTTCCTGAATCCAGCCTGTTCGGTCGTAATTTTGAATCGAGAGCATTTTCGTTTTAGTCTCTTTAGGATGATGCGGCTTAATATTTTGGTTGATGTGGACATGGACAGCAGCATGATTCTGTGGCAGTTCTCGCAAAGAGTTAGGTCTCCCTTGTTTGGGAGTTTGACAAGGTGACCCTTTCTTCCAGTCGAAAGGTACCTTTCCTTCCTTCCAAACCTTCTGCAGTAGTGGTGTGAACATGTCCTCTGCTGATCTCCGTGCGTCTGTTGTCAGTGCTTCTGGCGGGATTCCATCTGTTCCTGCTGCTTTCCCGCATTTCAGTAGCCTTATGGCGTACAGGACTTTGACTTTCGTCGTAGGGCTTGTGTTCACAGGTAGTTCTGTGGCTGGGCTGCTGATGGTTTCCTGGAAAATTTGCAGGTGGTGGTGGTGGTGGTGGTGGTCGATTCAAGAGCTTTTGAAGTGGTCAGTCCATCGTTTCCTTTCATTTCTCTTCTTTGGTAACTAGCTTTCCTTCACTATTTTTCATTGGTTTAATCTGCGTTGATCTCTTCCCATCCCAGACAGTAACCTGGTTGTTTGATACAATGTTGTCAGGTCTGTGTCTCTCCTACCTACAGCCTGTTTTGCCTCACTCTCCAGTGTGTCGTAAAAGTGTCTTTTGTCTTTGCGCGCACTCTTCTTCACTTCTTTTTTCAGTGTAGTGTTTTATAGGTTGTACTCAGTTCTTCTTCTCGTGGTGCATCCTTGCGCTGGTTCATCTTCTGCTTCACCATCTTCCTCTCCCTCATCTATCAGCTTCCATGTGTCCGTCGAGATCCATTCCTTGTCTTGCCTTTACTTCTTCCTTCCTAACATGGCTATTCAGGTTTTTTTCCACATCTCTTTCAAAGAGTTCCAGTGTTCATCCACACAGGTTTCTTCAGGGATGTTGCCTAATGTCTCCCATTTTGTCCTGATGGCTGATGTGAAGATGTTGTTTGTAGTTCCATCCTTCAGCCCAGTTTCTGTTCTGGGTGTTGAACTTGAACTGTGATCTGTCATCAACGTCCCTGAAGACTTTCACCTTGATTGTGAAACTTCCTTACACTAGATGGATAGTGAGTGGTGTGAACCTACATCTGCTCCTCTTCTTGATCTTGTGTCAAGTAGGCTGACTGCGTCTCCACTTTCTTGAGATTGAGATGAAGTCGATCTGATTTTTAGTGTGTCCTGATGTCTGGTGAAATCCGTATCGCTTGCAGTTCGGCATTTATGTCACCCATTAGAATTTTGATGTCGCCAACTGGAGTCTTGTCCGGTATTGAATGGAGTTGGCTGTAGAATTCCTCTTTCTCATCTTGATCTGCACCATTTGTAGGTGCTTAGCGTAGCGCAGCATAGCATTGTATGATTGTGACTTCCTTCCTTTTGAGTTGAACCTTGCTATCATGATCCTGCAGGAGGAAATTGGTTCCTACTGTATGAGAGCCTTTGACGCCTTTGGGGACATCATGATAGCCACTCCAAAACTCAGTATGCCCGTGGTTATCGTCTGGGTGACAATATCGGAGTAGATTATTGACTCTGCAGTTAAGAGTTTGGAGAGTTGACTTCCATTCCATCTGCTTTCGCATACTCTCAGCCTAGCACTTCAGTGCTACACCTTATCATCTCTTTGACAATCCGGACACACTTGGCAGCCAGCTTCATACGTGGTGCAGACATTCCATGTCACCATGTTTACTTTCTGTTTCATCGAGAGAAACGAAGACACATCGGCCGACTGGCTTCTCGAAGGCTTTCACCAACTGGTGTCATTTGGTCCTTCCGATTCCAGGAAGAAATGTTTATTTTTATTTTTTATGTTTTGAAGTTTCTGTAGCTGTTGAATTGGTTTTCCGGTGTAGGGTTGGTAGCCCCATGCCCAACCTTTCCTCTTTATCATGCTTAGGACCGGTCAGTAACTAGTGAACATCATTCTGATCAACCATACTTCATCTTTCAAATCTCTTATGTCTTATATACAGTATCAAAAGTTTCCTTACTTGTAACTACTCAACCAATGAAGGTTACTTCCTAATTATATAATTTACTGGATCTAATGGTCTTTGAAAAGGACAGTGACATTTTTTAATGGGTTTGACGAAGTTAATATGTATTCTGTGTTTTGGTTCGGCACCTACGTGAACATATTTCTAACTTATGTTCTCCAGTTGCAATACTACTGTAGTTATTTTTGATAAGCAATATAATCGTTCGGGTTTTTAGCAACTTTATTACCAGTTTTTTCCTCTCAGGTGAGATTTATTTTATTTTACTAAATGATCCGATTGTTCTTTTCAACATGGCTTATTCTGCTCTTGCTGGTTCTGATGCTACCTAATATGACAGTATCTAAATTCATCTATGTTGTGCGTTGCAGAAATGTCAACGGCTGTCTGAGCCTGTGGGTTATGTTTGCAGTGAAGTCACTGCTCCAGTGATCCTAGCTAGCATACTGGGTATTACCATTCAGAAAACCGTTTGGTGATGACTGTTATACGTGTCCTTGTCGCGGAACCAAACGTGCTAGACAGGCAAAAATGTCCGGTTATATAACTGACCATTCAGCGTCTGGTATCATTACATAGGCTTACTTCAGTCGGGAAAAGCTGTATTGTATCAGGACTCTATTTAAAGGGCTGTTGTGCTAAGGGTCTTGGTGTAAAAAGAGGCACAAATGGAATAACATTTTTACTTAGTGTTCCGTAGGCAGTATAGCTTTTGATCAGATCCCTTCAACAGATAAAGCGAATGTTACTTCTGATAAGTGCGGTAACAAACAAAAAGAGCAAAGGTAAGCAGATTACAGCAATGAATAGTTTGACCAAAGTAAACGGAAGTAGACTGGGTAGAGTAGCTACACATGCTACTCAACCTAGCGTGGAACAACTCCTGGAATATTCAACCTGCTTACTGTTCAAATATAAAGGTATTAACGTAACAAGTCATGGCCTCAGAGACCAGGTTGAAACCCTCACCTGCAGTCCGTTAGCAGTCCTTATGAATTCCAAGAATAACTCACGGTGATGACAATTCATGTCTTACGAGTCATCCCCCAAAAGCTGAATAAAAAGTTAGGTCATCCATACAAAAAGATGGAATACTATCTTACTCTTAAATTGCTCATGCTTTTTAACGTTAATGAATGTAACTCTTCTTGATTGACCGATTGTGAGGAACATGATCTTACCCAATGGAAGATATAGATAATATCAAGATGGCACCTGACATTACTGTGTAACGGCCCAATTTGTCACACCTCAAATCAGATGAGAATGCTTCAAGATGAAACACAAGGAAATAAGGAAACAAGCAGTTATAATTAGTAGAAGGTTATGGAATGAGAGAAGGAGAGAGAGAGAGATGATGAAGGTAGACCGCTAATTCACATAGTGTACAATCATGCTGCATTTGAGGGATATGTGGAAAATGTACAAGGGCTTAAAAGCATAGGTGGCCTAATTGGTATAGCAACGAATGAGTACAAAAGACAGAAAGAAATAAGCTTGCCGTGTCTGACTTCAGATGCATGCTACGAAGGTAATGGTTATCAAACAATTAAAGCCTTCTCAACTCCTCTACTTTCAACGGCCATCATCCACCACCATAGAAAACTGCAGTGCAGTACACTAGACACTTGATAAGCATTGGAATATCACGGCAGCACCGTAAGTGGCCTAAGCCGGCAAAGGATAAGCGAGTCTTTTGTATCTGCAACAAGGTATCGTCAGTCACTGAACTATCATATCTAATCCGATTTCCTAAGTAAATGAAAGGATAAAAAGACAATTAACCACTTCGTTCCCTCTTATAAGACAAAACATCAGCTGTCTAGCAACTATTTGTACTTGGGGAGTGATAAATGCATCACAACCATTGTCAGATTTCCACTGTAGGTATCCAGAAAACTTCGAATTTTGCCAACATATTCACCAAACAGGGCTGCCGCATGCATACTTTAGGTCGTTTATAGAGTCTCCAGTGAGATCAGTCTCGGCAAAGTCAGACGAGGAGAGGGAGATCTTCATAAATAAATCAACGACAAGGCTAAATAAAAGTGGAAAAAGTAGATATTCTTGACTGAGACCACTTGAGGCAAACAACTTACCTGATACCTCATCATAGGTTCGAATAGGTTTAAGCGTGTTCGAATAAAAATCTTCAATGAGGAAATGCAGTTATCCAATGTCCATTTTAGTGAGAGATATTGACATAAGACGCCGAGATCGACGAAGTCAAATGCTACATTCATTTAAAGAGATACAGTTAGTGTAGGACCCCAATATGTGTACCTGTATTTCAAAATCTAGTAGAAGTTGCAACCGAAACAACGCCGTTGGTCATGCGGTTTCATATGACCCACTTTAGGGATCATCTTTTAGGAGTAGAGCATGTGAGGGCGCGAATGAATATCCATGCTAACTGTAGATTGTGGGATTACCCTAATAAAGTTGTTACGACCCTTTCTGGTGCTTTTAGAAGGGGTTTAGACGCCCGCTTAGAGTGCTGTGATGCAGATCTGCTGTGCTCAAGAAGTTTCTCATCGTCTTGATGACCATGGATAGCAGCAATACCGAAAGAGAAGTAGTTAGTAATAACTAGTTATTTGCTGTTTCGTATTTCTCGGAACCGAGACGAAACCTGTGATGAGTGAAAGTAAAGAATATTTTGCAACACCGAAGATGTAGAACCCAAGGAACAATCGTTTGCTACGTTTTAGAACACTAAGTTTGAAATTTTTCAAAAAGCCATATACTCTAGGTCTTCTTAATGGCTTTTTGTCAACCAAAATTTTACAGGTCCTGTTACGAGACTATACATTTGGACGCTCAGCAGTTGCACGTCACTAAGTGGAGCTGTGGGTCATTGGTTTAGGGAGGTGACTTTCAACCGATGGCTTGTGGGTTCGAGCCCGCCAAGGTATTATCATTAGTTTTCACACAATAGGTGTGGCTAATTGCCTAGTGCACGAATATGCACAAAATAGCTGAGTCCATTTCTTCTTCTTCATGTCAAAATGTAATTCGTTAGTCTCATGTTTCGTTTATTCTTATTCTGATACTATGCTATAATATGCATAATTACGAACGTATTCCTGGTACATCCCAATAGTTTTTATCAGTTGATATGTGAGACAGTTTCTGGAGACTTCTTGAAATTTAACGGGTAATGCCACTGCAATATTTCGTAACCAATACGCTCAAGTATCATCTTCGAGGCAAGGAATAGATTGTGGTGTCATTAACTATACGTGTATCTTTCAGTGATTAATTGGGAGTAAAGGTTTATACGACCTGACTCTTTCACGTTTGATATAACTTAACTGCATTAAATAGTTGAATAGTTCTGCATTTCAGAGGTGTTAAAGCTGTGTTAATTAATCGTATTTATGTACGCTTATCATTAGAGGATTTCTGCTTCTTTACTCAAATAATATGTGTATTGAATCCAACTACTGATCACAACCAAGAGGTTGTCATTTTCTTTTATGTTTTCATTCGTGAGTAGTCTAAACCCTTTTCCTTTCATTTAGTCATTTCTAGATGAACGTTTCAAGGATGTAACAATTGTCAGACCTCTACGTGATTTCCTTGCTAAAGAATTAACTCTATTCGCACATTTTATGGGGGTTAAGTCGCTGACACCAAATGATCCTTTAACATCAATTATTCTTAAAACTCCGAATGTCAATACATTGGAGAGACTAACACAAGATTTTTTAGCATCACTTCAAACGGGAGGATTCCCATCGACAACTGGAACTATTTTAAGGTGAGTTGTCCTTTGATCTCACGTTCTACTTTGTCTTTTACGTCTGGTATTTCTTTTACGCGTTTGATGATATGTTTAAGCAATAACCGTTAAGAAGTAATCATAGAAATATTCCTAGGTGTACAGCAGATTATTACGTAAATGAAATATTTGGTTAAATGAGTTAGTCTTATCAGGTGTCAGGTTCTAATGGCCCTCCTCCATTTCCCATTTTTTGAGTATGGGATAAATTATACGTGTTAGTTGTCAGAAAAGTGGTTTTAGTATTAAACTGTGAGCTTAACCTATCGTATAGAAGTTATTTATCTGAATGTGACTAGCATTACCATCCAGGACGCTTGACTCATCCCATTTGGGGCACTTATTTGGAGTCTAACTACACTGCTGAGCTGCCTGTTGATGTAAAATTTGAACGTGAACACCTTGGTGATTGTGACAATAATTCAGATTACAAACCCACTTCTCTACGAACAAAGTTTCTGATGAGTAAGTTTATTAGTTTGTATCAGCTGAGCAATAGTAGCGCTAGGTAGCATCAAGTTATTCATTGCGAATATACCGTCCAAATATGATATTTATAAAAATTATTCTCATGAATATACCATTATCTCAGGCACAGAGTTTACTGCACCTAATGAAAGTGATCTAATACTGCTCTTGTAGTCACTAGCTTTTAACCACTTGTATTTCGTAACCTAATGTATGCTGGAAGCAATTATTTGATAGAGCACAGTGATGTTGTAGTACTTATTGAATGACCTTTGGAGCACAATTTAGTGCTCATATCAAAAAGATCTAGTATTTACAACACTATGATGTGTATTATAAAACTCAGTGATAGTTGGGGATGCTTGTTGGCTGTCTGTTCATACTATTCAGTGGAACTGTGGTTCATTGGTTTAGGCTCTAGGCTTTCAACCAATGGTGTACGCGTTTGAATATCGCCCTACCTACCAAAGTTTAGACAACCAGGTAGTATCATCAGCCGTCACACAGTAAACGTGGTTCATTGCCTACCGCATGGACGTGCATATGATCTCTGAGTTGCATCTTCTTTTTAACTTCCTATTCGATGACTTATTTCGTTATTTGGTGGCACTACTTTGTTCTATAATATATAATCCTGGCTAGGTTTTCTGTAAGAATTCCATTAACACCATAATAATCTATTAAGCTTGAAGGTGTGTTTAATTAATTCAGACACTCGGCTTTGGAGCAATGCGTGCTGGATAGTATCATATACTGTGACAGATTGTGTGACTCATAATCTGGTGCATATACACATACCAGGTCACTGAGTTGCAGTGGAGTTAAACAACCATTCACCAGTGAGAGAAATCAGTTTTTTTCGTTTTGTGTAAGAATTATTTGTTTTCCTTCAGATAAAAGGATAGTTTTGAATCTTAAAGCTTATTTTCTATACTCGTTATTCACAACCGCTTTTCACAGATTGTCTTACATGAAAGTTTATTCTACTGGGGGTTATATGTGGGGATCGTCTCGTTTAGTTAGTGTATCTACTTCAGCAGTATTGACAGCGGTGATTTCGTTTTATTTGATACGGTATTAGCCAATAGATCATGGTAATATGACCGTTTCAGTTATTAGTATATATTCGTATATGCAAGTGGAGCTAATTACCTTCAATGCTCGGATCGTGATGCAGATGAAGAAACTGGTAGATTTCGCTAGGACACTGGATATCTTCGTTAGTGACGTATGTTGTATCTCGGAAATCTGTATGCAATATCACAGCTACATACTTCGGATAGCTTCTTACTTCGAAGCGTTTTTAATGTGCACTTTTTCAGCAACTGTGTAGCTTCAAGAGTCAGTCATACTGTTTTTGGTGTCGCGTAAGTGCTGAAGCCGAAGCCCAACTGGTCTACTGGATCCCTATCAACGGTCATCTATGCTGTTAGGCTAAAAGGTTCCATTAGAGTAAGCACCGCCTGACAAAGGAAACTACTCTTTATATCTGCCTATGCTCCAATTGACTTCAGTCCTCATACAGTTAAGGTTGAGTTTTATTAAATCAATTTAATGAAATAGTCTACCACGGGTGTTCGGCATATGGAGCTAGCTAAGAACTTGAATGTCTAGATCAGGCATCTAGGCTCACATGACAGTCGTTAAGGTGGCCATCGGGAATTAGTCGACCTCAGGTATGTGTAGATCACAATCTATTTGTAAGCAGCATCAACCTCCAACACAGCTATTGCTGTTGTGCTGCTTGTGACCCCTCTTTGACACTCAAGTGTGCATTCATAAATCATATTGCGATCAGCTGCTGGATGGCCTGGCCACATTCAAAATTTCCTTTCCTTCTGAAACACCTGTCTGGATTCTGATCACGCTTTAGTGTGTGATAAGTTCATTTTGTTTTGGTAATTATTTAAGACGTTATCCTAAATGGCCTGATGCCAGAAAATTGTTTTCTCAAAATAATACAACCAAATACCTAACTGAGTTAGATTTGAAACTAGCTATCTAACCTCCAGAAAGCACATATGGGCTTTATCTGTACCACCAAGGTGCTGAGAAAATGGCGAGTAAGGCTGTTTACTGCTTCGAAGAACACCCGGTCAATAACTCTTCGAATTCCTTGTAATCTCTTGATGCTCGCTTGTCTATTCTAACGTCAGAAGATCTCTCAGTTGTGTTGTAGCGCGTGATACCATGATCCATCCGTTCGGCTGAAATTTCAAAATTACCATCTAAGTACCTTTCTGTCTGGCTTAACCTATCCACTTGTGCATTGAAATCACTCGCTGAGACAACCGCATCTTAGCATTTGGCCCACAGTAGCAGGTTAGATAGTTTCCACTCAAACTTATGCTTTACGTCATGCAACCTGAAGTCAGTGAGTGGTTAACAGAGATTACAAAGAGACAACGGCGAGTTGTACTGCTCTTTTTAGTCCTCACTATGCCATCCAGTAGAACAGCGCACAGGCGACTGTCAACTGGGATCCAGTCGATCAGCACACCTGCCTTAAGACTCAAAGCTATACCTACACCTGCGAGACCGTAATATCTAGCCGTTGAATTTCCAGGAAATTTCTGGGTTTATTTTGAAGATTCACCCAATTAACCAGATGAGGTCAAGGGAATAACTACAGTTAGATCCTTTGTTTTTGAGAGACAAACACAACACACTTTCATAGAATGAGATGCTAGAGTTTTGTGTAGAGAAGCTTGTTGTCCCACCAGACAGAGTGTAGAATTTGAAAAATCAGGTACGTAGTTTGGAGTACGATTTCATCGGACCGAGAATACTCCTTTTCGGGCTCGAATTGTTATCAAACGCTTCATACCTGAGAGAAGCTTAAGGTTGATTATGTTTTATGATAGAGACCTCCAGAGAAGGCATAGAAAACAAGGATGGTGATGGCTGGTAACGATTTGAAGGGAACCGAGTACTGACAGAGTTGTGAGGGTAACTGATATAACCCGATTGGGCACACCATGGAGAGTTACTTCTTCTCGAGACGCGTGTAGGCAAAAGCGGATTAGTAAGTGATGTCTTATTGACTTGGTTGTATGTAAGTTGATATCATAGGACATCTGCTTGATACAAACCATTCACATGCTTCTTATGACTTAAGGATTTGGATTTGATTGTGTTTCACACGTTTTAGAATAACCCATTACACCGACTTCGGAATACCAAAGAGCAGGAGGTTGTGCGCCATTTCTATAGACTATCTTTTCTAATCGCTCCTTCCGATAACGAAAAGTATGGTCGGCAGAGAAAGCTGACCATCCACCGTAAACAGCCTGCTGCTGTTACACGACATCCAGTCAGCAGTTTAACTTAGCACCCGAATCCCGTCATAGCATGAGGTATTTATGCTATGACTAACTGCATTTTTTTCTCTTACCATTATTCAACAGACCTTTCTTTTATGGTGGGTACAAATAGCTAGTTGGTTTGCTGCTCTATCCGCAAGTTGTGGTGTAATTGGTCGGAACTTGTACTACATTAGTAACCAGAAAATCGCGTTTTCGATTCCCGTCACGATCCAGACTTTCATTTTCAAAAACCATAGTCACACCCTTAAATAAGTTCTATCAAGAGGTTCCTTGACAGTAGCTTATGCTGGTCAATATCTCTCAATTATAATAACAGTTTTCATTGAACAAAGAGAGACTAACTTGCTAATTTGGTAATGTTGACTGTTATGGACCATCGTAGTGATGTTTTTCATATTTCTGTTTCACAGAACATCATCGAAGATAGTTCTTGCCAATGATGGTACTGAAGTTATGTGTACCTTCTGTCACGTGAGTACAGCCATTTTATACCCTAATGAAACTTGTTCACTGTTTTCAATTTTAGTAATACATTTTATTTTGTGATAAATTATAGCCAACTGTTCTTCACGCCTGTTAGGTAGTAGTAGATGCAGACAAACAGATAGAATCAAAGTAGAACCTCCCATGCAAGTGAGGCACCTTGGGCTACCACACTTCACATTAGTATGTAAAAAACAGGCGGATATAAGAATACTCGTATCAAAGTAGATAAAGTTGTGTGAGAGAATAAACAATTTGAAAATAAAGGTTAGTGCAAATATTCAAGCTGTAGAAGACGTCAAAGAGTGAATACATCTGCTCCATTGTCACCAGTTTCTAGCCATGTCACCAAGAGTTCTCCAACACTCATTCTCATCGTCTCGAGGACTTCAGTCAGGTAGTCTACATCTCCTCACACGGCTCAGAACAGCAGTCAGCGACTTCATTGACTGGTCCCATGTCTTAATCTGGTCATCCTGAACCTAATCCAGCTTCCCTTAGCATCTCTTACATCAAAGTAAGCGGTGGCTGTGCATGCGCATCACATGTCCAGGCCAGCTCAGTCGATCAAGGTTCACAAACTCACCAATCGACCTTCCAATCTTGCTTACTACCGTGCACCTGACCTCGAATTGACTGACACGGTGATTTCACTAAAAGTGAACAACGCCATGAAGACATCTGTGATCGAAACCCAGTAATCGCTAGATGTCTCCTAGTTTTAACGACTGTCTTACAGAGTAGCATGGACTGCAGTCCAGTATGCTCGTCCTTTGATAGGTAGTCGGATTACCACGCTAATCGGCGCCACAGATGACACAAGTTGGTAAATGCCAAGCGGGCCTTCTGTATCTGAGATGAGACTTCATCATCAACCACCCCGTTCGAGTTGATGCAACTCCCAAGTAGGTGAAGTGGCTGACACATTCCACCACTTCATTGCCCATCATTAAACTGGGAGTACTTTCAGCAGCAGACCAGCCTCACAGCATCACCTTACATTTGTCAGGTGCGAAACGCATGCAAAACATATTCAGATTTCTGGTCAACGCGTTCACAAGACCCTGTCTGCATTTCGCTATCGTCCTCGGCTGGCAGGAAAATATCGTCTGCATGCTTCAAGTCCACCAGATGACCTTCAAGGAGTAGATCAACCCCTACGAAGTCAGACATACTTCGGGTTATTTCCATAAATACGTCTGCAGCGAAGTTAAATTAGAACGGTGAAAGTGCACATCTCTGACGGACACCACTAGTAGTCAACTCACCCGACAATACTCCATTAGACCTTACATGGTTGCATGAATTAGAGTAGATAGCTTTGGTTAGCGTTATATACTTGCTCGGTACTCCCCTCACAATCAGACACTGCACAACACCTGATGGTTGACAGAGTCAAATTCCGCGTTCAGGTCAAAAAATATGGCAAGTGTAGATCACTGGTTAGCGGGTATGCGTATGTTCAAGAATCTGTCGAAGGGTAAAAATATGATCAATGCACCCTCGTCCAAGTGTGAAACCTGCTTCTTTCTCTCGAGTTTGCTGTTCTGGAGCTTCAGTTAGGCATCGGATAACTAAAGACCCTAGGATCGCAGACAATATTAGTCAAGCTAATTCCTCTATGATTGTTAAAGGAAGGCTTATGTCTTTTCTTATAGACTGGGATGATCAGTGAAGTACTCCAGTCTGACAGAACTACGTATGATCCCATACACTGCCTAGTACCTCCATCACTCTAATCATCAAGTTATTACCTCCACCCTTAAAAACTTTCGGTGGGAAACTGTCACATTCTGCTACTTTGCATCATTTCAGATTCGACACAGCTTTCTCAACTTCAAGAAAATTTGGAGAACTGACATCTACATCCCATTCAAGTTCAGACTGGATGTTGAGTAACTGAAGCATTGCTGGGAGCTAACTGAACTCTGCTTCAGAGTGTTTTGCCCTACGTTCTAGTCGCCTGTCCTGTGAGATTATCAGCGTCCAACCCCTTTCGGTGGGAGTTTCACTTACCATTGTTTCTCTCTTGCCGGTATCCTTCATAAACCGAAATAGTTGCTGAGTGTTACCCACAGTTGATGCCTTCTGCATCTCTCTATCCCCCTTTCTCCACCCACCGCTGCTCTAAATCGACGCAAAGAATCTTAGTCAACTTACACTTGAGTTGCTGTCACTCTCCATTGTGGTCAGAGCCAGTCATCTCGAATAAGTCTCGTGAAACAGAATCGCTTCATATACCTAAAGTTAGTGCTGTCTAGAAACAGGTTATTGTCAGAACAAAATTGTGACAGACGATCACTATTGTCAGTTTGTTGCCATTGGACTCCATAAATACCACCAACACACCTTTTCGATTGATTCAGCCTCCCTACTTGAGTGTTAAAGTCCTCTGTCATTATGACTACATGTGAACGTTTTGGTTTCTGTAGCAAGGTTGACAGCTTTTCATAGAATTCGTAGTTTGCATTATGGGAACTGTAGTCAGTCAGTGGGTGGTTTGGCGGAGATTACGAATTGGCACTTGTCGGTCTCACGACCCTTCTTATTCCTTACAGACCGATTCAGTCGAACACCACATAGACAGTTGGATTCAGTTGAGAAGGGCACTTTCTGCTTTACAGCTGAATGCTATGTCTACACGAGCTAGTCCACGAGAGCTAGCCACTGGGTTTCCGGATACTCGTAAGGTGTATTTTGAAGACTCACAGCACTGGTGAAGTAAAGTGAAGTGAGGTGAGGTGAATTTAGTTACCACATACCTGTTGTGTAGGCTGTAGGTTGTGTGTCTCAGATACACAGCATACATGCATGGTTCGAGATCCCAGAGTTTTAGCGGGCGATGCTTGGTGCTCGATTATTCATACAGTTCGGACATTGAAATCTCGTACATGAAATCGATGAACGGAGTCTTAGGAGACTAGGAATGAGGTTTCGATGACTTTGATTGTTGGTAATGACTGCAGAATGAGTTATGGAAGGGGTTTGCTATTGGTATGTGAAAGAGTAGGAGGAGAAAGAGTTGAGGAGAATAGGTTATGTTTGATTGGGTCTTATATGCCACTGGAAGCGTTCTGTGGGGGTGGTTGACACTTCCCAACTGCCCACACCGTGGAGGGCTAGTTGTTCTTAAGGTACTTGAAAGAGTAAGGGATTTGTGTGATCGCAAAGCCCATGAGACATCTGCTTCAGGTCTGTCACACACGGGCTTTTGTGGGATGTATTCTTTTTTAGGTTTGGGTGTTTTGGCACCGGATAGTCCAAACTTATACCTTTCCTTCCGGTAGTCCATAGGTCTGACGAGATATTCGACTACCTATTGTTGTTAAAGGACGAGGTATACTGTGCTGCCATGATTCTATCCTGATAAGGAGCTGTGGCGATTGAGAGATATGACGAGATTAGAGGTTTGTGACCATAAGGATTTTCGTAGCGTCAGTCACATGTGGTGGGATCACCATTTGAGGTATGTTGAGGTGGATCGAAGGGTACTTGGCAAGATAGGCAAGTCGATTGACGAGGTAGGTTGTGAACGTTGATCGGGTGAGGTGGGTTGGATATGTGTTGTGCGTACCGATCCACCACCCACCTTTAGTGGGGACGCTAAGGGAAGGTGGATTAGGTTGGAAGATGGTTCAGGTTGGCCAGACGAAGATATGGAACCAGTCGATGAAGTCGTTGACTGTTGGTATGAGGTGTTTGGGGAGATTTAGACTACCTGACTGAGGTCTTAATGATTATAGGAATCAATGTTTGAGAACTCTTAGCGACATGGCTAGAAATTGGTGACAATAGTACATACGTATTCACTCTTTAACATCTGTTGCTTGAATGTTCTCAGTAACCATTATCTGTAAATTGTTTATTTCTCTGACTTAACTTCGTCTACTCTTTTACTGTGCATCTGTTGTTTGTATACTACTGTAGAGTGTTACAGCTTGGCACGTTGATTTTCTCTGTCAGTTTCTGGCATGATATGCCTTTGTAGTAACATGCCTTCCATCTGCTTATTTTGTCTGGGTTTTTTTTAATGCATGCCTAGCCACCCTGCATGTTTAGGATCTATCGGCGTCAGTCAAACGAAATATAAAGTACTGAAAGGGAGAAAGGAAGAATGAGAAAATGGTGAGATACGGTATGGCATCGTTGAGATGAGGACAATGTGTGTATACATATACGCCACTGACATCGGTTCTCAACCATATCACACAGAGTCATGCTCCAACCACTAGTTTCTCTTGTCCCACAGACCCTAACCGGCTAGTCTGGATCGCCCCACATGGCTCAAACAAGCAGTCCAGAGACTTCAAACATTGATACCGTGTTTTAGTCTGGCCACCTCAGGCCTCTTTCCAGCCTGAACCTACTTCAGCCAACATTGTGTGACGGGGCGATTGGCGACTAGGCATACGTAGTACGTGTCCCAACCATCTCAGTCGATGAAGTTCATAACCTCGTCAACCGACTTACTTCTTCTCCCTAAAACTCTACTTCTGACTTCTGCGTTACTCATGTGGTGACACCACGGAATACGGCTTATACTACGAAGGCAGTGGTGGTCAAACGCCCGAAGTCTTCTCATCTCTTCCACCTTCAATGACCATGTTTCATAGCTAAGCAGTGGGACAGACCGGACTGCTGTGCAGTACGCATTACGTTTCATTGTTATTAGTAAATAGGTATGAGGTCTGAGAACGACTCATCACAATGAAATCCATCTTTTTATTTTGTAAGAGTTATATTTTATGTTTCTTTTATTCTTTTTTAGTATCCCATGTGCGACACAACCTCTTCTGATATTGATCCAGATAGGTTAGCCACAGAGTCGATGAAACATTCTGCGTCATTATCCAATCCCACCGGTTGTAGCAAAGAAATCATTTCTGAAGGTGTAAATAAGGCGTCATTGTGTTACTCTTGTTCATTAATGTTTGAAGAGCTTTCTCACTGCACATAAAATGACTGCCGTTTCACACGTATTTTGTTATTCACCTCAGCTGAGTATTATGCAAATCAACTGGAGTGATTGTATATCTTGTGATATGGCTCTTTTGTTATGCCATTTCCATTTGGTTGTATTTTAACCTCATTGATACATCCTGTACAAAATTCAAGTAGATAATGTGATACTTCATGGTTTCGTTACATCACTTTTTTAGCCAGTGCATATGAACCTTTTATTGCAACGAATCAACAGTTAATCAACTCATTGTATGATCTTTGTTGCTTTTTTTCACTGAAATATTCTTTGACGAATGGTATACAGATGCTCCCACACGTGCCATACAATGTATCGGAATGTCTGAATTACTGGGTCTATCTCATTTCATTTCCTTCTCTAGTTGTTAGTTTTCTGTTGGCAATTCTCACACATGTGAGTGCGATCATGAATGTGATCACATATCATTCCAAGCTCAAATTCAGTAATCCCATTTATGCTACTGTGATTGAATAACAAACACATAGGTATCCTAAGACTCAGACAGAATTTTGATAATGTGGAGTATCGGCCTTTAGCCGTAAGTTCTTTGTCCTCTGTCTCAGCCTTACTTTCTCACTTATCTCTTTTAAGTAAGCTCCTTTAGGTCGTAAGTACAGGTGTACTGTATGGTCCGGTTAAAATGTTATGGTAATGCATGCATTCCGGTTTACAGTGATAAGACTATTGTGTTTAGTAGGTGATTGGAAGATTCTTGTTAGATGTTTGAAACAAGAATTATCTGAGGTAACATGTTTTCAGTAAGCAATAACTATGATCAATGAATGAAACTTAGGTAAATACTGTAGCAAGATGCGATAAGCTTTGTGCAACATTTAAATCGTATCTCCTTACTCAGATGTTTACGAGATGAGTCTGTTTACACGACGTTAGACCATCTTTTGATCCCCACTGACAGGCAGATATCAACTTGCGAACCAACTCGCCGTCTTTTCATTCAGCTCTAGGATTTTGAAGTGAAGAAACTCGCCTCAGCATGCATAATGGGGGTTCTAATCTGAAGTACAGAGACCGTCCGGTGTACTTAATCTGTAATTTCAAGATGTTTTCTTACGACGATATGCTCTTTGATATGTCATGGGCGACAGGATAATGAGTTTCACGATGCATGCGAGGTACGAAGAAAGCTGTAGGGTATATTCTTGCTGTCTCCCCAGAGTGGCATGCTATTAGGAACGAGTTGGCTGCGGTGCTTGCCTATATCTCTGTTATGGGTTGCGTGTCATTGATGAGATCCATTCTGGTCCCTGCACCGGCGGTCGCTATCGAAAGCTGAAATCGATGAAGCTTGTATCATCCACCCTGACTGAGGAGTGGATCTTCGAAAGCAGTCATCGTTTGATCACTGAACCTGGTCAACCACGCAGACAAGGTTTGAAATGCCTTGGTGCCGCCGTTTAACCGCGGTAAGAGTGAGGGTTGGCATTAGTTGAGTGTGAGGCACGACCTGCCTTAGCCGAGCACACAATACCATCCCTGCTAAGGAGTTAAAGGTAGATACCTGAGACTAAGGTTTTTCCCGTAACAGGAATGCATGACCCGTTGTCTACACCGTTTTCGTGCATATTCATTTATAATTGGGGCTGGCTTGCTAGTCGGTGGCGTTCAGCTGGACTGGAAACAGGAAAGGCTTGTGAAACCTCGGTAACGATTGGAGGTGGACGGTATTAGTGACAATAGAAACTGTTATAATGTAATATCACACCAATGATGACGAAATCAATATGTTCTACAAGTATGTTTCAGTGGAAGAAAGCGAGATGGCGAAGGGGAATAAGGAGCAGAGGGTCAGTGATGTCTATCTGATTCCTAAATATGAGTTCAGTCTATATAAGGCTGGGACAGGTGTAGGGGCTGACATGATTAGAATTGAAATTGGACTGATATGAAAAAACCTCTTCTCGGTTCCTTGACTCAACCAGTAACAAATAAGCACAAGCCAAAAGCAGAGAAAATTGAACGGATGTATTTTGCCCATCCATTGTAGAACATTGCAAAAATGTATGTATATTTATGGGCATTTACTCAGTAACTCAGCGAACGGGTCGCTGAGAGCGCGAGCTTGCTGAGTTTAATTGGAAATTTGGCATAGGTTCGAAAATTTCTTAAGTGGTGTGACAATAATTGATTTTTCGGTCATTTTTAGGTAGTAATATCTGCTGACAGTGATATAATTTAGCACTTAAAGGTCACTATCAAGTGAAGATTTTCATACGACGAACTG